AGCTGAATATTGTATCTGGAAGTGAGCAGTGCACAGAAGAACTACAGGCGCTCCTGACCGTGAGGGGCACAAACTTTTCAAAAGACTGCGTGTTTCAGTAGCATAGAGCTTACCACGTCCTCTGAGAGATGCCAGCCAAGATTTGTAGATGTGAGTCACAATCCAAATTTTTCAGCTGCATCCAGCCTGGTCTGTTCTGCCTATGTTGCTCTTTAAAACCAAACAGTTTCATGCTCTCCTCTGCCAGTATCTATCTTCATGCTCTTTCAGCAGCCGCCTATTCTCTGTTTTGTCATTGCTTGCATCTCATTTCCTAAAGGGTTGAAGAGTAATGAGTCCTCTTATCCCTTTTCTTGCTGCATCAGAAATTTCTAGTAAGAAAACTGGCATGTTAAAGGTGGTGGCTGTGCAGCCCCAAGGGCCCAGAGGAGCTGAAGCAGAAGCATGACCTCTCCAGAGGCACCTCGCCTCCCCTCTGGCTCCCGATGTATAGAGAAGCAGCACAATCCCCCCACAGCGGGACCCCAGATTAACTTCCTGCATGGACACGCACCTTCCAAACTAAGATTGCCTCATTTTGCCATAATTTAAAACCCTTAACAACAAATGAACAGCTATTCCCTTGAATGTGTTCTAAATCTCATTCAAAAAGCAGATAAAAAGATGGCAGCTCAGGTTTTTCCAGGCCCCAGGAGGAGCACCCTGTGTGCACTCTTTCTCCTCAAAGCCCCAAAGAGGGGTCCAGGCAGATACCTCACATTTGTTATGAGTGAGGAAGGCCACATCTGGCTCTGGGGCTGATCTAGGGTCAGACAGAGTCCATTAGGACTTCTTTTCTCTTCCATCAAAACCCAGCAAGTATCTCTCAAACATCAGTAGGAGCAGGACTCTCCTAAAGAACAAGAACCTCATATTTTGCTCTGAGCTTTCTTTGTGGAAACTGTATGGGTTTGGCTTTTTTTTTTTTTTTTTTAAATCTGACTAGGAGACCAGGTGGTTTTAGAGCTAACCCAAAGCACAGACCAATTTATCACCAAACATAACACAGCAACTGAAGAGATTCAGATGCAGTCCTCTGACTTCTCCAGCTCTCTCTTTCTCGGAGGTTATTTCCCTTAAAATGGCAGTTAAAAGGTCTTGCACAGCAACTCATATTTAACTGTGTGGAACAGCATAAATGCTGGCGAAAAATTATAAGCAACAACATCTGATTCACACTGAAGACCTTCCTTCCTCCCTGTACATCTTTAGCAATAGCTCCCTACGTCTGTCAGTATTAATGACCTTGTAGCTGTGACAGATCTGTGGTGGTTAAGCAATGCGAGCTGGCAGGGAGAGGCTAGTACTGTTACTGTAATTATTGATAGCACGCTCAATAGCACGTTTGTTATTTCCAGCTCTATCTATTGCTGAAGCAGTTGGTATTACCCTTCTCCATAATTTTTGCCTGTAGGATGCTTTTCTCTGGATTCTGACAGACCAGCACCTGCGGATATATTTACTACTACAGAAATTATGCTGGATCCTCATCTCAACTCCTTTTTTTCCCCTAGCACCATTAACTTGAGTAGCTAGGGGAGCAGCTGAGGGTCTGCTCCAATATTTTGTGTGCCCTCCAGCACATGTACAATACCCCTGCCATAAAAGCAGGCAAGCAACACATCAAGCAGAACCACCAAGAAGCCAGATGTATCAGTTTCACAATCACTCAAGGACAGCAACCTAAACCCAGACAGTCCCAGTATAAATCTATTTGCAGAGAGAGATTGCACCAAATTCAAAGATCTTGGCCATAATTTGCAGCCAGCTGGGCAAGCAGGGCCTCTTCCTGCTCTGGTTAAAGTCAGCAGCCAAATTTCCATTGCCTTTGCTGGAAACACCCACAGAGCACAGCAGCTGTGCCAAACTGCCAGGGGCAGCAAGGCAGGAATAGCAGCCCCATGTGAAACTGCAGCAGGGAATCTGATGTGCACGAAACACAAACACCCATGCTGGGATTTGGCCAGCGCGGAAAGGGAACAGATGAGAGGTCTCAGCAACTGAGCTGGCAGAGTAAGAGCTATCTCCAAACTGAAATGCTGAAGATCAAATCTTAAAACTGGTGCAAGCGGTGTGGCTGTACTGGAGTAACTGCATTAGCTGAGAACCTTGATGTTGACCTTTGAGATCTCAACCGTCCTTTCTTCTTTCTTCTTCACCCATATGCTGTCACCTTCTGTACATCCCTTCCTCTTGCTCTCTGTGTTTCCTTGAACATGTCCACATTGGAGAATGAATGGCTTCCCCAGTCAGCGAGCAACATCACAACAGCAAACCACCCCTTCAGTGGACAAACCAGTGGGTGGAAAACATGCACAAAGGCACACGTCTGCCTGGCAGAGGGAGTAAAGCAGCAAAGAAGCCACCAAGCCAGTAGATAGGAGGCCTCCAAGAGAGAGACCTTAAGTGGTTGTGTGGGGGTTCACTGCTCTGTTGCTGACTGACATCAGGCTCTCTGGGCTCAGAGAGATCTGTTTCATTTTAAAGGGAAAGCTCCTCCAGGGATCTCATTAGCATCATCATGAAAGACAGAAAGGAACTGGAGGTTGGTGGAGGGGTGATGGTGGGGAGGGAAACAGGACAGAAGCGCTGTCCTGTCAAGCTGCATTTAAACTGGCAGAGGAAGGAGCCTGGGAGCGCTCTGCCCTGTTGGGACAGTCTTGCTGCCCGAGGGAAGGGCTGCCTCCTTACCCTGTCTGCAGGGTGAGTGGCTGGGGGGGGGGGGGCACATTGGGGGGGGGAGGCCACATTCAAGACAGCAGCCACTCAAAAGCTCAATCCAAGGCACCTACTCACCCACCTGCACTCATGGGGCAGTTTTCCCCCTGCCAAATCCCTCCTCTTTCTCCCTGTGCTCTCACTCTTCCTGGGGTCTGTCCTGCTCCTCTCTCCCATCGGTGACTGGACACCATTGTTTGAGGGGGGCAGCAGCTCTGGCCAAGTTTGTGCCTCCACAACTGGCAGCAGAAGACAAGGCACCCGTGGTTGTGTTTGCAGTGGTGGGAGGCGCATTAGCATTGTAACACACCCGTCCCACTCTGCAATGCTGAGGACTGGTTTGACACAGGATCCTGGCAGCCCTACGCATTTTAAGCTGATTGCTCCTTGAAAGCTGCTTCCACCTTTCTGAAGACTCCATTGCAAGAAGGGAGTGAAGTAGTCTATGAAAGAGCAGTTTAGTGGATCCAGAACACGGGTAGATTCCCCTCTATTAGGCTGAGAAAAGTCACAAAAGCAACACACAAAAAAAGCTAAGAACCCACAAAAATAGGAGGGAAAAAAAATCCAACTTTGTTAATTCAAAGCTTACTTTTAACTGCAAATCAGCTTAAGAAATTCAAACAGACGTAAGTTAGGCCCCTTGCTGTTGCTCACCAGAGGTAATATTCATTGTTACAATTTCTTCTATGTAGCATCATAAAATGCCAAATAGGACTGTGCTTCTTTCAAGTACAGCCCGTTCAAAGCAATTGGTGAGCCTTGCTTGGAACGCTTGGCAAAGGAGAGGGATGCATTCATCTCCCCATGTCTTAAAGAAATCGAGGAGAGATGTTTGTCAAGGGAATGAGTAATACAAATGGTTTGGCTTTCAGCAGACTAGGAAATACATACAGCAGGTTCCAGCACAGGTTTGTAAAAAATTAATTAGCAGTGAGTGGGAAAAGGAGTGATGAGTGTTATTCTCTGTGCTGCAGTCTTGTTTAACTTAATAAAAGTGACTGAACTATAAGATCCCAGTGAAACACCTCCTAAAATTAAGTGTTTCTCCAGAAATGGAGCTCTTTGTTTCACAGTAGCTGTGATCAGGTATTCTAAACTCTATCATGTTTCGGCTCCTAACACCAGATATCTGACAACACTGTCAGACACCTCTAAACATTTAGCTTGTTTTGTTATCATTAAAAATCAATGGGATTTTGGAGCCTAATTTATCCAGCTGAGCTCTCCTCCGCTTCTGTAAGCACCTAAAATATGAAACTCTGCCATAAAATAATTAGGTTTATTCTAAATTTTAATGAAAATCTAACAATAAAAGTTTGGAGAAGACAAAGCTCAGAATTTTTCTAGAAGGTTTCTTTGACCTGCAAGCCCCCCAAGCAAGCTGTGAAACAAAGCAAAAACTACATCAAAGCAGTGGGCCTGGCAACCCTCGTAAGAACTACCACATAACTATCTTCTCCCCCCAAGTGTCTCTTTTAGAGCCTGATACATCATTCAAGAAGAGAACATTTATAAGAATAACTGCAGGCAGTAAAGCATAACTTTAGTGACTGACACAACCTGTCCAGAGAGGGATCGGAAGCTCTGCTTGCTCCTGGTTGACCACTTCAAAGGGCTCCCACATGCTGAGTAGAGGGGCCTGAATTGCAGCCTTGCGCGACAGCAAGCACCCTTCCCACCAAGGCTTTGACAGAGGGAGCCCAGGTCTGCATCCCTCACGCAGCTGTTTTCCTTGGGATTCACTCCCAGTTTCCACAAGCACAAAGCAAAGGAGAATTAGGCCTGCCAAATTCCTAGTGATGCATCAGACCCAGAGCACTTTAAATTCCCCAGGTGGCAGTGACCAAAACCAACTGCTGGGAATTAGTCCTTCAGGTCACCTCTTAATGTCATAGGGCAAGTTGTCACCACAACTCAAGCTGGGCAACCAGTGCATGGGGACAGTTCCCACTGCAGCCAGTGGTGATCTTGCCAACTAAACTCAGAGCAAGAAAGTTCTGGGTATAAACAGCAGCAGAGCTTGTTAGAAGAAGCAAACCTTTGCTGTAACCAACCAACGCCAGATGATCCCTACTGGAGAGCAACCACCTCCATGGTTCAAACATCTCACAGAACATTTTCCTTCATCCATCAACACACCAGGAAGGTAATCACAAGGTCTGGTGCAGGGCCAACAAAGATAATAGAGCAATGAGATAAGAGCAAATCCAAAGATAACTCAAGCAATGAGCATTGGCTTCCTCTCTGTGAAAGCTCTGGGCTCAGACCCCATGGTAGCAGAAATCAGCAGGGGCTAATGGGTAGGGAGAGAGCTGGAGAAAGCAGCATTGCCTCTACTGAATCAACCAAGTGACCCACAGTCTTGGGCATGCTGAGATGTGAGCTCTGCTTTTCCTAGATACTCTGCATCTTACAGCAGGCAGCTACCAGGGCAGCTGGCACCAACTCTGCAGCTTCCCTATGGACACCTCTGCAGAGCCTTTGCTCATGAATCTATTTCAGGTTGCTCTTAAACCAGCTCATATAGATAGGAAAAAATCCCCAGTCTGTTCAGCTGGTGCATTTGAAGTGTTAGAAACATCACTAAGGCGATAAAGCTTTTCTTTCTCTTTTTTTATCCCTCCTGTTAAAAAAAATAACCTGCTCAGAAGCTATATTTCCTCTCTCTCTCATGCACACACACACTTTTACTGTTGAAAAAGCTCACCCGCATTGCAATCATGACCTGTGGGATCATATGCCTGTAGATAAACACACACAGCTATCAGGCACCCCTGTGGAGGCATAGGCATTACAGTATCAGTCAGGTACAGATCAAAATCTTAAGTTTCCTCCCTAGGTCTGGGGTGTATCGTGCCAAGCTCATTCAATCAGTCTGTTATAGTCAACAGCACTTGGACATCCATGCCTACACAGGGGCTAAATTTGGGCTGGGCCTCTGTTCAGCTGGGGTAGGGATGTAGGTCAATTTAAAAGCCTGGTATGTAGAAATCATCACATTAGATGTCCCAGCAACAGACATTGTATCACACATCACCCATCCTGATTAGTCAACACACCCCAAGCAGTTACACGGGGACCACAGATGCTCCTTATGTGGTGCTGCCCTGCAGAGGCCAAGGTGGCAAGGTCTGATCCAGATGAACCTGTCCATGGAATATGTGGTGTTGAAGGTGGTGCTAAGAGGAACAGCGTCTTTCCAAGAAAGTCACCTCTTTTCAGAGTGAAAGCCATGCTCCAATGACAGAAACAAACCAGCATCTTGCTCACTTCTCATGTGGCATGTCAGGGCTATGTTCTGTCCGTGTTTCTTTCAAGAGGAATTGCAAGACGTCATCTGAGAGTCCGGGTGTTCTCTTTCTGTCTTCTAAGACAACTTGTCCCTCAGCTGGCTTTGAAAAACAAGTAGTAGTGGGGTGATTTGGAAAGATCTTACACCCATCTCTGTTCAAGACCACCTGGGCCATTTGCAAGCAACGTGATGTATACTTTGTTCCATCCCGGTTTGCTAGCTCTGAAATCTTCTGCGACAGACACCGTGATGCAGCCTCATAGGTGGGATCCATTCTGTCTGGCCGTTTTTTGCAATACATTTTGTAGAAGCCATCAAGACATTTCCTGACACTGGTATCTTCCGCACTATCATGTTCATACATCCATGAGAGAGCAGCATCATTAGGTTCAGTGGGCTCACACAGCCCCGCTTTTGGATAACATCTCACGTTTGTTTTCTCAGAGCCTCCAGCAGAAAAGCTTGCAGGAACTGCAGAGGGTAAATCGTTCTCTCCTGCAAGCACAAGATCAGTGAAACTCATTAGTCACCAGGTCAGCCCTGTGGCAAAATCTTTTTTTGTCCCCCCTCACTGCAGTCTGGCAAACAGGCTCTGTGCAGGAGTGAGCTAAGTACTGCTTTAAACTTGGCTGGACTGCCAGAGGGGCTGGCTGCATAGATTCATACAACATGGGCTGTATTTGGGGATCTCATAGTTGTCCCAGCCTCACCCTACTGCAGTGATTGAACCTACTTGGTAGTATGCACCTCCTAGTTCCTTTCAATCATACTTCCAAAAAGGTGGAAATTGGGATCTTCTGCTGTTGGGAGACAACAGCTGACCCACAGGAAAGTCTAGTTTGCAGCTGAAACAGTTCTGCCTGTTTCCTTTTTTCTCCCTTTGTCCCTGGGTCTAATTCTTCCCTTTTCATAGTTCTCAATTTTACTCCTACAGCACAATGTGCAGTCCTGTCCCTCAGCTTTCAGCCAGATCTAAAGCCTCGAAACCAACACTGTTATGGTGACTGCATAGAGTCTGGGAATGAGGATTGCGAAAGTCCCATTTTTGCAGCCCAGCTGCACTAAACACTCTTCCCACATCCTGCAGGAATTTTTATAGATAACATTTATGTAAAGGCCAAGGACTCATTCTTGTCTAGCTCTTCTCCTCCTTCCTTACTGACCCACATCTCTGGATAACAGCCAGGGCTATGGTTCACTTCTGCTCCAATGCAATCAAGGGGGATGCTTTGTACTTGCACATAATTAACACAGCATCAGCACAGGGACTCTTGGCAATGACGTGACCATGATGATTAGCAAGCCACACACAGCTTCTAGTATGAAAAGCCTCCATAAAGGGACCTTGAATTGGGCTCTGGTACCCAGGGAGTGCCTCTAACTGCAATCTCATCTCCAAGCCCGCCATGCCAGCCAAACACCTGAGTCACTGACAAGAAAATTTTCCAGGGCTCAGCCAGAGGTTGCACAGCCGTCATCTGCAAGTTACATAAGCAGGACGCAGGGAGTCAGAAAATAGCTTGGTCTTTTCTAATTCTGCGAAATATGAAGCAGAGTGCAGTCCTTCATTTTGATAAGAGACCATGTTCAAAGGAAATCTCAGTGCGGTGGCAGAAGGCTGTTCTTTCCTTCCCAGTACACAGAGTTACCCTCCCCTTCCTGAGTGGTCAGAGATTCATTAAACTGAAATTAAGACGTCTGTGCAGCCATACTGTAGATTGCTTCTTTCTTCCTCTCCCTACTTTCTATCTTTGATCTTTCTTTTCAATTTCACTTCATCTCCGATTCTGTAATTTTAAATAGAACTTTTCTTCCTCTTGCAATGTGTCATTTCCAATGCAGCACAAAGAAAAGCTTAGTGGCCTTCTTTTAACATTGATATATGCCATCCGAGTAGCAAATCAGAGCTAATCAAAGAGAACAGGACCATTTTGCCTCAATAATCTCTCAGCCTTGGTGCCTAAGTTAAGTTAGAACTGAAGTCTCGTGCATCTCTAATAATTCAATCAAATGGCACTTGCGCTCAGACTCCTGCGGCAATTGCAAACCCCTGTGCCGTACTGTCATCTTGCTACTTCTTACGCACAGCTCACAGACATATTTTGTAAAAGAGCAGCAGCTGCCTCCAGCTACAAATCTCAACCCTACATGATCCAGGAAGAGCAAAATCTTGTTGGTTTCATGGTGTCAGGGGAGACCTTTGCAATGCTGCTCTGCCTTTCTCCCGCAATCTGAGATTGGATATTAGGAAAAATTTCTTCACTGAAAGGACATTACTGAAAACCCTTCACTGAAAGGGTTATCAAGCACTGGAACAGGCTGCCCAGGGAAGTGGTTGAGTCACCATCCCTGGAGGTATTTAAAAGACATGCAATGTGGCCCTCAGGGACACCATTTAGTGGTGGACTTGGCAGTGTTAGGTTAATGGTTGGACTGATGATCTTAAAGGTCTTTTCCAACTTAAATTATTCTATTCTATTCTATTCTATTCTATTCTATTCTATTCTATTCTAAGCTGGTATGACTTATAAAGCAGCCATCCTCTGTTGAAGCACAATCCACCAAAGAAGTCACTTGTAAGTATTTCAGGGGTATATTTTGGGGTTTGATTAGTCAGAAAGTACTCAATTAAATTATTGGGAGAACAGTTTTCTTTCAGTTACTGATTCAAATTTATGTATCTCTATTTTTCAACAGTAGGCCCTATCCTCTTAGTGGATTACTTCTCCAGCAAAGACTTCTTAAGGCAAGACACGAAAAGTTAGATGCAGAATTCCCAGAACCAATCTGTATCCCACGAGGTTGCACCTTTCCTCAGCTTTCCTGACAATTTCCCAATACCTTCTCAAACTATGTGCCAAGACTAATCTTTGCAAATACACTCAATCTTTTCCTCCCTAAAAGATATCAGTCAAGGTAGAGGCCCTTCCTCAACACCCTCTAAAGAGCTGATATTGCTGTTGTAATGCACAAATCTCCAGAATGACTTATAAACCACGGGGCACAAGCCCAGTAGCTGGATGCCTGCAGGGTCCAGAAAGAGCTTCTCAGCTGGGGCACACATACAGAACACAAGCACACCACATAGGCCACCAAATGTGCTGCTAAAGTCAAAGGCAGCATTAAACTTATCAATCCCTTTCCCCTCTCCATGCACCTACACCCCTCAAGAAAGCTGGGATTCCCTCATAACACACAGCAGCGTTGCTTCAAAGCTTAGACCTCTCTGGCCAGCTGTCAGCAGCGGGAAAAGTGTAGTTTTGTAAACTCTTTATCCTTCCATGGCAAACTTAACAACACAGCTGTCACACACCTTTGTCTTGGCTTGACCCACCACCTACAGAAGTCAATGCAAAGATGAGCAGGGCTGAAAACTCCCACTGCATTCGCCTGAAATGGAGTTTCATCACCAGAGAATCTGGCCCAAATTATTTTTAGCAATTTTCACTCATTTATACTACCAAGCATGTGTTAAAGAGGGGGAGAAAAAAAACCAACAACAACAACAAAAGAAGTCCCCCAAACTGCAACAGGTCATTACTCATGTCTTGATTTCATTCTCACATGATGGATAATCATCAGTAAGAATGTACATTATTTCATCTGTGCCTCCACTCCAGGCTAATTGAAGTTCAGCATTTGCAGCTTATTAGTAAAAGACCTGGGGGCTGATAAAAGGAGGTTCTTTGTGTTTATAAACCTGCTGATGAAAATTTAAAGTCTCCATCTGGTACAAGAACATAACCCTACCGCCCGAAGCACACAACCAAATCCTGCTTTGGACTTGGGCCACTTTCAGTGGTGCAACAACACTGCAATATTATTATTTGCACTTTCCAAAAGCAGCAAGCAGCTCATGTAGCAGTTTGAGTCTGTATAACTGTGTTCAAGCACATACAGTCAGAGTATAAAATAAGACATCCCTCAAACAGCAGAGCTCCGACACTGCTGGCTTTCTGGGAAAAGAAATCCCCCCCAATTCAGGTGGGCAGCAATCCCTGAAGCTGCTAGTGCTTCATTAGAGCTGGTGTTGCTGTGATCTCTGTCTCTGCCCCTTGCAGGGGCTTAGCTGGATGCCAGCAGCTGCTAATTCTCTAGTTACAACACCTGTAGCTGGATTTGTCCAAGCTTTCTGCCCTCTCCCACATTGTCTGACTGCCTTCTGGGGACCCTGCTTGTAGGACATGTGGTTCCCCTCCTGCCTAGTCCACAAAGGCCCATCCTATTAGTCTGGGAGACTTACACTTTAGATCTGAGTATGTGAGAGCTAAACCACAGTGTTTGTCATCAGCAGTTCTGTGAAAAGGGCAATCACATCACTTGTTTTAGGGCAGGAATCATTTGCCCTAGGGCTTAGGAATGACTCATCCCTGGTACGAATGGAGCTCAAGTCCAAGCCTACCAAGATGAATGCCAATCCCATACCCACCCCAGAGCTGCTCTGGTGCTCTCAGGTGTTGGACACTATTGGAGCAGCCACGTTCAACAAGGGCACCAAGCCCTTGTTGTCTAAATGGTTCAAGCCCTTGACCCCTTTCAACCATTTGATTGATCACATACTGTGGGTAACTTGGAGAAAGGGCTGAATTTCTCTGTGTGCCTCTATTGTGCCACCCTAAACAAGGACCAAGAGAACTGAGACTGAGAAAAGTGAATCATTTTTTTGAACAGAACTAAATTAATCTGGAGACATACAAATTGCCCTTATGTTCACAGTAGTGATTGAAGTTCAACCAGATGTTGGTTAAATGATGCTAGAGCACATCCCTATATTGTAAAGTCTATGACAGGACTGTTATCCTGCTCAGAGTGATAGAGATTATTTAGGTACTCAACTCTGAGATGGTGTACTGAGAAAACATGTGTCTGCTTCCTGCTACAGCCATACTGCTGGCGGTGAAAGCCCGAAGAGACCATTAGGATCAGCTTGTCTGAAGAAATGTCCCTGAACAAAGATTACCAGAGAACTGAGCAACACAGCTGTGGAAAGGAAAAACAAAGGAAAGGAGAGCACTAGATGAGAGAAACTCTTTCCTTGAGTGAGACTATACCAAAAGTCATCAATACTTTACCTACTCTCCCTGGGAGTAGATGGGGCTGAGCATAACTGAACACAGCTTTTTTTTGCAGTAGCTGAAGAGCAGAAGCAGGAGACATGTTCTAGTTGGGGAGACAAACTCCAGCTACGGACTCCCCTGTCAGAGCTTAAAATACTACTTTGCCCGAGGCACCACCATGATTTTATGCCAAGTTCAAGATCTGCAAGAGGCCACAGATCCTGCCTCTTGGCACATCACAGTTAATTGGTGCTCCCAAACTTTTTCGCAGAGAGGAAGACAAAAGACTCTCCTCTGTCAGTCACAAAATCAGCCACTCCTTGCCCTGGACACCCCACCTGCCCTGGACACTGCCACCTGTATCTCAGTGTGCTCTTTCTACTCACATGAGTCTTCTCCCCACTGTGACTTGTTACAGTTAAAGTCAACACATTCTCG